GCAGGAACCAATCACTCTTAAAAGTTGTCCAAATGAGTACTGATAGATACAGTATGTCTTAAGACCACCTCCTTCTCAATTGCCCCCAATATACACAAATAAAAGATTTTCAGAATTATCTGAGGGATAGGGAACAATTGACAGCTGCCAAGTAAAGCCCAATTTCAACATTTTTTAGTTACAGAATTTGAAACTGCTAGCATTTACTGAGTTTTTTAATGACATAAAATTTGGGGAATTTTTATTATTTACTTTAAAAAAAAATAGCAACCACAATGTAGCGTGAAATTGTACAGTGCTGCCTGCTGCCTCTATATAACCACTTTTCCTAATATTCTGAGGTCTCTAATAGCCTGAGACCCTGAAAACAATGCATATCCTAAATGTTCTTTTCTTCATGCATTCCAGCAGCAAAAGAGAGATCACCTCTGAACTGAGGTAATCTGATTATCTAACTGAAAGAGTATAAATCTACATCCACAGTTTGGTATCAAAGTGCTCACAGTAACTAGATTTGCAAGGTAATTTGGGGAAATTACCAAGTCTTGGGTATATCAGTTTCAAACGGTACCTTCCTTTTTCTGAGGAAGGATAACTTTTTCTCTTTTAATTGAAATGGCTTTGTGTCACACTGATGATTAAAACAGGACAATGCACTTGGCTCTGTTATTATACTCAGTACAAAAGCCTAGTAACTGTCAATGGAAAACTTAACAGCAATACTTTTGCTGAGCTATTGACAGAGGGTTTAATGTACGATATATCTCATTAGAAAAGTTTATTCTGCAAGGGAATGTAATCATAAAAGTTTTATTTGAAACTTTTAAAAACTGCCTTGTGCATTCCATTCTGCACTAGCTTTCAACATTCACCCATTTCATCAAAGGGCAAGAGCTGACATATCTGCCTGTTCTTGGCAAGTTACAGAAAGGCCTTATCTCATCCAGCAGCTGGAATGAGAACTGGTTCTGTGTGGCAGGATAACAGTAACCTAAGAATAATAAATATTGGAAGATCAAGCAGTGTTCTAAAGGCTTGCAGAATGATTTAAGAGTTATGATGCATCAGTTGGATTTTATAATGCCAGTAAGACTTTTTTTCCTTCTATAAAAGGATAGTAAAGGCATACAGCTTATAGGCAGCCAGTTGATTAAAAAAAATATCTGGTTTAGAGTAGGATTTAATGCAGGAGATGCAAAAGATATGAAATATCCAATATGGTGAAAGCATCAAATGTATTATCTTGAGCGCCATACTGGATCTTTAACATCATTGGCATCTCCTGCATTAAATCCTACTCTAAATCAGAGATGTTTTTATCAACTGAATACCCCCAAAATATGTGTGACAATTATTTATTTTTCCATACTTACAACTGTCCCAGTTGCAAAGGACCTCATCAACAAGAAAACCCAAAACATAACTATAAGTAAATCAGAGTGGGGATTATTACAGAGAAGGCCTGCCTTCTCACACCGTCCTGCTTTCAGCAGACTCTGAGACTGGCAGATTCAATTCTGGCAAGTGGTGGCCTGATATAAATATACAGAAACACAGGGTCCAAAGCAGGACAATATCTTATTTATATCTCTCTTTTATCCAAGGTGGAGTCCCAGAACAGTTTATAATTGCAATTCCAAAGTGCTAAATTGGGATTTGAAGTGTGAACAGCAGACTTCTCTTGGTGATGGTGGATGCCATTCTCTTTCCCAGAAAGAGGAGCAAAAGGTACAGAGGGATTTAAGGGCTGGATGTTGATAAAGTCAGACCACAGGAATAGCTCTGAACACCAATGTAAATGTCCAATTGAATATTTTTAGATGGTGCAAACTAGTAGCTTGGAAAGCTCACTCCTTTCCACATAGATGGCACAATGGGAGGGGGCATCCTTGCCAAGCAAGATCTGTTTTTTGCTGCTTTATCAACTGCTTTCCACACTCAATGCATGAACCAACTATCTGTCCAACAGCAACAGTTATAACTTCAATTTAACTAAAATCATCTTGCATTCTTAATTAAATGTTGTTTTCTGCCTGTATGGAGAGGAAAAACATGTACAAAAAAGATATACTGGCAAAACATTACAGCAAAAACCTAAGATTTGTACAAGAGTACACAGATTTGAGTTTCAGCAGTTTGGGGAAACCAGTATCAGAAAAAAATCTTAGCTCTGGAGTACAACAGATTTCCAACTGCACCTGCTTAATTTATCTCATATAAATGTTGGCTGCCATTAAAGCTCTGCATTTATAATCCTGATCTTCTACTCCAAATGGGGGGGGGGGGGGCACTGATTTGTCAGTTCAGAGCAAAAAGTGTAACCACAACCTTTTCCTTCAGACACAAGAAAGCAACATATCTTTAGGAAGTTAATATTTAAGATGGTGTTTGAAGGACTGACAAAAACAAATCTAGCAATCCCTTAAAGGTTAATTAATTACATTAATTTTTGTGTTGGGGGAATATGCTATTTCCTCAATTTTTAATTGATTTCCCTATTATCAAAACCCTTCTTATATATTTATATTGGGTCAGAAATATAATTCAATAGAATATAATTACAGCTTCTAGATTTTTAAAACAACATAAGAAGAAATGTTTTGCTTAGACTATCAAACATCAAAGAGCAATAATTTTTGGAACTCCCTTCCCCCCAAATACATTTGAGGCAACATAATTATAGAAAGAGCATCTTTCAAAAGCAAAATAACTCAGTTTGCATAATGGTCTTAAGTCAAAAGATAAGCAACATGCCATCCATACATTATCAGTGTGCGTTCATAAAGTTTCCTTTGTGATCACCAGGCTCCCTTCCTCCCCTAACCTTGATTTCTTTTAAAAGATATTTTTAACTAAAGAAAGAAAGAAGCCTGGCATGCTGCAGGAATGTATTTTATCCTTGCAAAGATCCACTGGCACTAAAGAGAACACTCTGGGAAAGCCATGGCAGCTCTAGGAATTGACTGTTCTGCAATTGATCATGCCCACCATGACATCTACACGGTGAATAAACTTTCCATAGCAACTGTTCTGTGCCTATTTGGATATTTCTAAAAATTCATATATGCCTCTGGCCCAAAAGCTTGCCTAACCCCGTAGTAAGATATCATGTGGTTTGTTTGGTTTCAGCTTAGCACATTAAATGAATCCTTCTATTATTGTTTATAAATCATGGTTTATGATTTAATGTGTTGAGCAAACCCAGCCAACTGTGGTTTATCCAACAAAACATGGCTATAAACCATCTGCTAGGTATAAACGATTATCTCAGCTAAAGATACAGTATCATCAGAAAACGGATTATCAATCTGAGAAGTGAAAGGCAATTTATAAGGTCGTCCAACCACCTTAAGCATAATTAGTTTATATTAAAGGTTGTTTCTCTGTTAACAATCTCCCCATTGTTAACTTGAGTTAACTGAGAACCCTGAGAGAAAAATGTGTTCATTTGTGAAATCTAAGACAGTTACTCTAATCTCTTCTGTACAGACAAGCAAAAATTGCTGGATTAATAACAAAGTTTTTCAAAAATGTACTGTTTCCATAGCATTAATATGCAGCAAAAATTTCTGCAAAAGGACAACTGTATGATTTATATCTAGCATTCCAACATTGCATGACTAGTTGGGACACACCCTCCACATACCTCCAAATCTGGCAAACTGTCAGTGGCCTTATTTCCATATGTCAAATGCTCACATTTTATATGACCCTTTAGGGAGATTATTTGCTTTAGAAAGTGATGCAACATCTCCAACCCCATCCAGAAGAAGAAAGTATGATTTTTTTTTTAAAGGGGCTTCCCAAAGCAAACTAGTTTAGCAGAAATCTTATTTAAGGGATCCCCCGCCCCTTCATTCCCAATCTGAATATCAAAAGCAAAAAGGTTCCTACTTTAGTTATATATTGTACACCAGTGTTCCTCAACCTTGGCAACTTTAAGAGGTGTGGGCTTCAATTCCCAGAATTCCCCAGCCAGCAAGGCTGGCTAGGGAATTCTGGGAGTTGAAGCCCACACCTCTTAAAGTTGCCAAGGTTGAGGAACACTGGTGTACACCACTACACAATACCTGAATTTAATTGCAGCTGCCATCATGACCGAGTTTAGCCTAATCCTCTTTACACCCAGAACAGCTACTCTTAGTTTTATTACACACATCCAAAATACAGATTGAAGGCTTGTATTATCTGCAACCCTGTGCTTGTCAAATCAGAAGTCAGTCCCGTGGATTTGGACAGGATTCTCAGAAGCAAGTGGAGTCAGCGGAATAAGGAAGGAAAGTGTCCTTGAATTAAACCATGCTTATTTCTGAACAGCTTATGATGGGCTATTCAACTGCGCTGGGCCTGAATGACAAGGTATCTCATGACGACTACAAGTTTGGAAGCAGCTACCTGGAAAGTCAGCCTTACTTAATTCTACAAGGCTTATTTCAGACTCTGTGCCTGAGAGAGGGAGAGAGAGGGAGAGAGAGAGAGAGAGAAAGAAAGAGAGATAGGTAGAAAGATAGAGACAGAGATAGAAATATAGAAAGAAAGAGAGAGAGATAGAAAGATAGATAGAGATAGATAGAAAGATAGAGACAGAGATAGAAATATAGAAAGAAAGAGAGATAGACAGAAAAATAGATATAGATAGAAAGATAGAGACAGAGATAGAAATATAGAAAGAGAGAGATAGAGATAGAAAGAGAGAGAGTAAGAGAGATAGAAAGAAAGAGATAGAGAGATAGAAAGATAGAGATAGAGATAGAACACTTTAGGCAGGTTAAGGAACAAAGCCATCGGTAGCTGGACCGCTGATCGCAAATACATGTCTTACGGCAATAGGAGGACTCCGCCACCTTTCCCCTCCCTTCCTCATCCCCGCCACAGAGCGCCTCCAGCAAACTGCCGCCCCTTCATTTTCAAGTCGAAAATGGATCGAATCATCTAGATACCCAAATGGAGAAGAGGCTGGAGGGTCACCTTGTCTTCAAGGGGGGGCACGACTCCCTTACCTGGTATCTGCGCAAGAGCCGCCGCCGCCGCCGCCGCCGCCGCCAAGCAAAATAAA